AAAAACCTACCGCTCTTGCTTTCATCACTTATAATACAGGTTCTCACTTTTTTCTGTAGGCATGAGTGCAGTGGACAGGTTTTCAAAGTGTGATTCCTTTTTCCAAAAATATAAAGGCCCTGTAGAGCAAGCAGAGTTCACGCCAAAGGTACGTGGGTTTAATGTTTAATTTACAGTAACACACACACAAAAGTTCAGACACATAATAAGTTTATTATGGTATATGGCAAACATCAGACACTTTATACTGATCTCTGGTGTCCAAAAATGGCTTCATATTTAGTAAGAAAAATAGTCTTTCCCCTTAATATAGCCTTTACATTGTAAAAGGAACATGGTTTGATAACAATCTTAGCTTTCAGGAACTTTTTGCTCGGTGTCCAAGCAATTCCCACCTCCCTTTTTTCCTAGAAGTCCATTTTTTCAAGTTCCATGGATAGATTAAATATACCATACAAAAAGAAAAAAATCATTTGGCATGGAGGAATTTAAGACTTTGTATTCCCCTTTTCGGTTTAACAAAAATAAAACCCACAGCCTGGAACCTCCTTGCTTTGAATCCTTTCTTTGTTTTATAGACAAAAGAACTCTTTCAGTAGCTTTATTTAAGAAAGCACGCACTAAATAGATATAAGACACATCCAAATATTGTGTTCCTGATAGCAAGTGCATAGATTTTGTTCATATTTTCGTTCCCCACTTTGAGAGCGCATTTCATGGTCCAAAGAAGGGAGACTTCCCAGTGATTGTGCTAAGCATTTGAGAGAGAGAAAGGGAAAGCGAGAGAGAGAGAGAAAGAGAGAGAAAGATAGAGGAAGGGAGTGAGGAGGGGCTCAAGAAAAAAAGAAACAAACAGGACACAGCAAAGTTGTGAAATTACAACAGAGAATGAAGAACAGAAACAGCCAAACCGGCAGTACAGTCGATTCCTGATAAGTGAATAACCTGATTGCTTGCTCACAATACTTTATTCACTTATCAGGAATGAAACACAGTACACTGTTTTTCCCGTACCCTCGTACCTAAGGACCACCGAATTGGGGTGAGAGGTATTATGCTCCTGCCAGCAAGATATTTGGCACTCTTTTAAACTTCACCCTAAAGCCCCTATGTTGGAAGCAATACCGGTGGCACAGTCCTTTGACGTTAATGTCACAGTGGGGTTTGCTACTGACATCGGTGGGATATGGATTGCACCCTATATGAAATAGAAACACACGGAAATCGCTGCCAAGGAGGCAGATACTTCTGATACTAGAAGGATCGTTGTTACATAAGCCCTCTCTCTTTACCATTAAACGGAGTGGCTGCTATTGTCAGCTTACAACAGCTGCTTAACATCCCTGAACTAATTTGTCCATTTGCCTTTTCCAAACATTTTCTCCCAAGCGAACTTTAATTTAGTTCCTCTGTTGTCCTCAAGGCCACCCTAAACTTCTTCTGGAACTCGGCTGCTTTCTTCATGTGGACCATCAATTTTGAGATGCTAACATCAGAACTGTTAAGTAGATGGGTGTTCTCCTCCTGGTTTGGCGTGAGTGGCTAAGAGAGTTTGGAGCGTCCATGTTACAGAGGTTGGGGCGGATCCAGAAATGCTCTTCTTCCACCAGAGGAGAGATGCTGCTTGTGCAGCAGAACTGCCCTGTCCTCTCGTTCCCCTTGATGTCCCTGCATGACCTCCAGATCATCTCAAGAGGGTTGTGTGATCCTCCAGAGCAGATATGAAGGGCACGTGAGAGGCTGCCGGGAGGAAGAGAAATGAGGAGAGCCAACTGCACAAGCGGAATCCTTTTGGTGGAAGGACAGCTCGGATCGAGCCTATTACCATCCCAAAATGACTTATCAGCATGAAGAAAGGAATGTCAGAATGTCTAGGGCCATTGTGTACATTAACACGCGGGCAAGAAAAACACACACAGAGAATCCTAGAATAGTGGGGTTGAAAGGAGCCTACAGGGCCATGGAGTCCAACCCCCTGCTCAATGCTGGGCTCTGGTTAAAGCATCCATGGCAGATGGATGCCCAAGTGCCTCTTGAATGCCTCCAGTGTGAGAGCACATTGGTTCCATTGCTCTACTGGCCTTAAGCCAGGAGGTTTTTCTTGATGACCAACTGGAATCTGGTTTCCTATAACTTAAGCCCGTTACTCCATGTCCTGCACCCTATAAACACTCTTCTGCTTGCATGCAAACTGGAGATTAGATGCAAGAGTACCAGAAGACCTGGACACGTGGTTCATGGAATTAAAAGATGCATATAGGAAGGGAGTTGGTGGAAGGGAAGGGAGTAACACCTCGCCTCACTGTAGCTTCCCTGCAGGTCTCTCCCTTGATATATATGGGAGAGGTGAGGCTGAAGTTGGCCTGTCTTAGCAGTTGTGGGTTTGGCAGCTGAATTTGCCGAGATGTGCAATTCTACCCTTGTGACCCACCAAGCAGAAAACAGTCCACCTATTTGCCCAGCTTTCTTGGGACTCCAGCTTTCCTGTTTTCAAACAGGACTGTTGTCAACCACTACAAAACATGGTTGGTGGACTGCATCCAGGTTGTTGGCTCACGAGTTGTGCTGGTCTGCTTCAGGTGGCATAGCAGAAACGGAATGCCCTCGAACATCTGCTTTTGCTGCCACGAGAACTAGTGTCTCATTCGACATGCTGCACCCTTCTCCTGACCACGTCAGCACACCTGTGTGTCTCAGTGCAGGAGCGAACTCCTCTCAGCACAAAGCACCTGCTGTTGTTGACATCAGCCGTCCCCAGCCTGGCACCCTCTTAAGGTTTCAGTAGCTGCAGCGTGGCCTTTGGGAAGGGACGAGGGGAGTTACAGTCTAAAAACATCTGGAAGGCACCAGATGGGGAAAGACTGGTCCACATGATCACTTATCCTGGGATGACAGAGGCAGATTTTTTAAAAAATGGATGCCACATGGCAAACAATGTGGTCCATACATGTGCGAAGGAAGTACTCAATGCAGTCACCTGGCTGTCCAAAGGTGTGTTGATGCTCAGCCACCTCATCCTCAGCGCCTCCATCTGAATGTTGACTAAGATGCTGAAGAGGCTTCAGCAGGTGTTGGATCAGGAGAGCTCATTGTGTCAACAGGACCATGGAGATGGTTATGATTCATACTGCACACATGTGGATGTGTAGCAAAGAGACAATGGATGACTTGACTTGGCCAAGGCCACCGAGTGGCTGTGGAGGGTTTGGCCCCCAGTTCCCACATGTGTCTGCCACTCTGTTCACTGAACACATACAGATTCCAAGGATTCCCCAGCTCGCCTTTGGTCATACAACTAGTTGGTTAAAAATGTGTAGTGAGTAGGCTTTGCTTTCCTTTAAAAAAAGGCATGCATCTTTTACACTGGCATAAAATGATTGTCAGCACTTGTCACAATTAAGGCTCCTATAATCTTCCTGGGAAGATGAGCTTATTCCCAGATTTTCTGCTTTTTTGTTTGTTTTCTTGTTGTGGTACAAGAGGGTCTACTTTCTCGTGTCATAGCAGGCACACTGTTGCATCATGGGGCATGTTCCCATGATGCAGCTGTATTGATGAGGTAATTGGAAAACATAACCAGGGAGTGGGATTGTGGGAAATAGGCACCAGTGAAGCCACATAAAAGGCAACAAGGATAGACCAATCAGAGGGCGGCGTGTCCCTCAACCGTTTGTGGCATGTCTGGAATCCACAGACACAGAAGCTTGGGCAACAAGCTCTGTAGGGCAGAACAAAGCAAAGCAAAACCATGCCAGGAGGATGCCGAGTGTGGAAAGCTTTTTTTCTGAAGTCGCTGTCATTTCAGTCTTTGTGTGATTGGCTCACACAAGTGAAAAGCGGCGCACTGACCACGAAATAAAAGCCACAACAAAGGTCTGTGGACTCCATTTTATAAGAGCACTTTTAAGTGGCCTTCGATTCCTGAGTTTGGGACGAAAGGATGGATGTATGGCTTGAATCCCACAGAGCAGGGGATAGAACCTTCTTTTGGGAAAGTCTCTTCCCCACCTGATAAATTTAGATCTTTGATGAATTGAATCAAATCAACGAGAACAACATAAAGCCCACCAAGGTCAATGACTGATGAAGTGGCAGTAGAATTCATAAGAGCACGGGCACAATCAGAAAAGCATTGGAGTGATGTGTCTATTTGCAATTTATTTAGGTTATCGTTTGTTTTCTCTGATAGAAAGAGCCTCACCATGGTCACCTGCACCCCAGGAGGGCTATAAAGACTGAAGCAGTCACTTGGTCCTTAGAGATTTGGATTACTTTAGTATCTGTTGCTATCAAATGCTGAGCCAGGGACTAAGATCAAAATAGTCCCAGTTCATTACTGTGTTGCTCTTCATTTCTGACTTCTACTGGCTGTAATAATTTAAAACTTCCTTAGCTCACACAGCTCTACATATGTCTGAATAAGCTTTTTCAGCTGGTGGGTTTTGGATCAGGCACTCCCACCTGTAGTTAAAACTTTATTAGTTCTATAAAGTGCTGAACTAACTCTTTCGGCTTCCAGAGCACTAAATCTGAAGAAATACCAACATTTTCCTGTCTCTACTCCCATCAAATAACTGTTCCAGGTGGCAAAGGTCAAGATGCCCTTGCAAAGCAGAAGTGCATCATTTTTCAGTAATCAGAGAAAAACTGTGCCTGTGATCTTTTTTATTTGTGCATGTATATTATACATTTTTAACCGCATCTCCAATATGATCGCAGGCTAGCAGTTAAAATGATATCCTGCTTAAATCATCAAAATGATTAAAGGCAATTGGAGGAGGGAGGGCAAGGAAGGGGGAGGTAAAATAGACCAAAGGTTCCTACATATCTGTATTCATTCTCCAATCAGAGGTTCACTTAGGTGGAATCGACTGTATCTTTTGTACACGACAAATAGAAAAAAAAAATCAACAGGGACGTGAAACAGTGAGGTGTGCAGATGTATTACCAACACGGAATGACCACCAACATTACAACACAGAGAGAGAAAGAGAGACAAGTATTAGGAAAATGGTTTAATATTGGAGACAGAAGCAAAAAACTGCATCACACAATAACATACGTTACAAAAATAAGTTTGACTGTTTCAACTACACAGTTATGTTCACAATGAAGACAGAAGAATCAGAAAAAACTTTTGATCTAAACAGCAAAAAAGCAAACCCCTACTTTTAACTAATACATTTATCTACGTAAAGTGACTCTGTACTCCTAAATTCTAATTTATCTTTATATTATTGTGTAACTGCACAATACAGAATAAAAAGTGAAACTTACCGCTTGTTTTAAAGACAAAATTCTAAACACTAAATATAAGCAAAGGGAAAGAATTAAACCAAGCCAAAGTTTGTTTGTTTGTTTTTAAATTCTCTAAACAAAACCAACTTACTTTCTTTCTACCAACTGGAAATCAAACTTGAAACCCCGCCATGTTCTTGGGGCTCACAAGAGCAAGCCAGAAAAAACAAAAACAAAAACAAACAAAAACTGTTGTTTTTTTTTTAAATCTCCAGTATAAAAAGTTCCACTGGTACAAAATGCATAAGTACAATCAAGTTTTAGAAATAGGAAAGCCTGTGGGGGTTTTTTGTGTTTGTGTTTGTTTTTGGCTCAAATTCCATCAAACAGCAAAATCCAAATGCGTCAACAAAATAGAAACGATACTCAAATGATCTTACAGTTTCCACTACATTGCAGTAACTTTGGCTTTTCTCTGACAAAACTTTAAGAAACAAAACAACCAAGGGCACAATCCATTAGCACCGTGGGGTCATGATCCAGGTGCAGAAGATTCACACGGGAGTCAATGTGTGTGCTTTCTCAGCTCCATGCTCGCAATGCATACATTATGCCAGGGTGCAGATCCCTGCTGTCTCCCCCTGAACTTGCTAAAGAACTCCTAAGTTGCACAGAGCTTTTCCTCTCCTGCTTTTCTGCCAGATAACCTCTTGGTGGGGCTGTGCAATAGAGGAACGGCACAAATACACAAGCAGGAAAACAGCTTTTCGTTCACTTAAATAAAGCCCCGAAAGGCAATGCTCGAAAAATGCCCCGCTCTTAAAAAGCAGAAGTGAAAACGGAGGACCATGTCAATGTCCAAAGAACCCGTAACAACCACAACTAAGGATTCATGAGCGCCAAGAAATGCCTCGTGTCAAAAAGCTTGCAAGCTACTGGTGCCCCGTAACTTCCCAGGACAAAGGGCTGGGATGCGGATACAGAACGCTCGTGCGCTGGAGGCAGAGCTTGGATGAGCCAATGGGAATCCTCTGCGTGGGGATGCTACGCCCACGGCGAGAGTGGATCGTGGCCTCGGTTTCCGACATTCTCAACTACATGAGAGATATTATTAATCTACAAACAACAATTTCTCACAGCACGACACTCCAGCCCACCCCACCCCACCCCCACGCCAGTACACAGGGTTATTATCTTTGTTTGTTATGACATTATTCAGAAAGATAACGATACTACAAGTTTGTTTGTTTGCTTAAAAAAACTCTTTTGTTAATTTGCACTTAAGTTAATAAAAACAGAAACAGTAAAATGATTCCAGAGAGTAGCACAAGCCAAGGAATAATAACCCCTATGGTGAAAGAAAGATGAACTTGTTACGCCTTTGAATATGGCCATTTCATTAAAATTAGCTAATTCAGTTCGAAAACTACTTCTTTGTGCTTTTGGAGTTGACTTTAAAAAATGCGAATTCCCCTTGTTTATTTTTTTCCCTCAGTTTATCAAGCCCTTTGTGCTCCTATAGCTCCTTCCAATGCTGTCCCCCATATGAAATACGTTATAAATAAATGACAGAGACTTCTGTCTGGGTTTTTCAAATGGAACATGTAAGCAAGCAAGTGCAGTGCGTTAGAAAAGACCCTCATTCAAGAAGCTGCAACTTTACTGGCTGGTTTTCTGTGCGGTCATTTCCACAGCAAGAACAGTTCCAAATGGATCCGTAGCCATGGGAGCAGAGAGAAAACCAGCTAGCAAAACTTCAGCCGTGTGGATGCTTCTATCCCAGATCTGCATGTCCCTTCTTTGGATCCCCTTTTCCCTGCTAAGGGAGCAGTCTAAACATTTGGATTTATTCTCTGCTTAAAGTTGCAAGGTTTATTTTCTATTTAAGGATTCTGTTCAAGATTTCTTTGCGCTATAAAATAAATGTTGCCTGGAAAATACCTAATTCAAGGCCTGCCATATTTGGCCAGTGCCTGTTGGCCAGAGTTCTAGAGTTCAAGGAATTTAGCATGAGCTACTGAAAAACAAGGGTGCGGCTCAAATTCAGTGCAACCCATTATACACGGCTGCCATTTTGATAGGGCTTGTTTGGGGCTTTCGTGCAAGCCCCGGTGCAAGGAAAGAAGGCTAAACTTCAGGAGGTGACGATACATGTCCTCAGAGTTTTTCTGCATGAAGCGTTCTGAGGGTTCTCGCTGTTGTTTTTTAAAGCATGGTTATTTTGGAAATTTAAATGTCGAACAACAAAATGTCCTGGAAAGACATAATGATGACCAGTTTGCATGTGATAATTCAATAGGCAAACATTGCTGCAAGAAGTATAAAATAGCCCTCAAAGGGTTCAGGAAGGCCCCAGCAGTAGTAAAAACGTGAGAGTAACACAAAGCCATTACCTATAAGTACATGTGCTATAAGAAACCTTTTAAAAATATTTTGCGTGTGTGCACCACTTGGATTCTAGACCTTTCCATCCCAGGGCTTCTCTACAAAACAGTCATTTAAAAGTAAAAGAGGGGAGGGTGATTAGTAGCTTTACTTTTAACAATAATTTACAACGGGGATTAGGGAAGGGGGAAGGAAGTGTTTTGTATGAAATCAAAGAGAGACAGATAATGGGGAACGATTATGGCACTTTTATCAGTAGCATAGAAAGCTGCTGAGACGTATTGGCTTCAAAAAGGGTATATTTGCCAGTACAGAGACCCAAATTTGGTTTAGAGTAGGAATGGTATTATATCTAATACAACGGAAAGGAAACCAAGAGGCAGTGAGGGGCTATTAGCATTTTTCCCCCGTTTCCTGGGCTCTGTGCTGCAAACATGTAGGGCTTGCAGAATCCCTTTGCCTATTTGAGTGTTTCTCCATTTTGAATGTTTGCAGGCCTTGTCCCAACAGAAAATAAGAGAGACAGAACAGGCACGGCAATACCTTTTAAACTGGAGCGTTTTCTGCTGATGGACCACACAAGCTTCTGAACTGTGTCGAGCACATGCACCTAATAACATGGAAAGCCGGTGACGAGCTGGGGAAACAGTGCTGCCAAGCGAGAAATGTAGCCCCCGTAGCCACTTAAGAGAGCTGCCATCATATCCTAAATTTCTGTGCTAGAATTGCTGCTGGAGGGCCAGTTGTCCTTGCCAGTGCTGCTCCTGCAGCCACGAGCAGGTCCTCTACACTGCTTGTGCGACAGGTGTGAATCCCTAAACACCTAAGGACACAAGTCAAGCAATTCTGATTAGCCGCTGGACTTTGCATGCTTGGGGAAGTGTGTCTGCCCTTCACGCTTTGTATGTTTACTGCGGGGACCGCTGGCGTGGCTACCAAAGAGCGCTGACTGGCGGCAGCGGCCTGGCGCATCTACGAATGTCAGCACAGCCGTGACGAGCTCAGGGTGACTGCAGAGCGAAGCGAGCCGTGCCTCGGTGAAACGCTGGAACAGTGCCAACCTGCTTTCCTAAGGGGCCTCTCACGCTTGTTCTCCCACTCCCATTTATCCAGCAGAAGTGGAGAATTTCCTTCTTAAAGCAGCTCCCCCGGCACCCGTCCTGCACCCTGCTTTTCAACCCCAAGGGCACCGAGTGCAAAAAGTGATCCCTGGGAAGGGAGGAGCGCTGTTTTAAGGAAGCAAAAGCCAAGAGCTGGATTTCCGGAGAGGCCTTCATGTGCTCTCGGTCCGTGGCGGGGGGAGTTGTGCGGCAATGTGGGTCCAGGATGCCATTTGGGGTGTCCCCTTCTGAACTCTCTGTGTCCTGATGGGGCGCCCATGCCTTGAGCGAGTGCTGGAAACTGAGAGCAAAACGCAACTCTTTACTGCTCTGCTCAGCCGCCGGGTGCCCTCCCGCTCACGTGGGAGCCACGCGAGAGTCATTTTGATAAGGGCGACGTGCCTGGAATATTGGCAGTGGCAGCTAATGGTCTCATCTGCCTTTCTGAGGGCCTGCTCCGTTCAAGAGTGTGCGCGGCCTTCATCAACAGAAACCAGGTTAACAAAAGGTATTGCCACACCTATTCTGCGTCTGTTACCTCTGGACCAATATATCAAGGATAATGGCAGATAGCACATCAAAGCATTACAACATGTGTAAATCTCATCCATAAAAAGTAGTTTAAACTGCAGTGCACAATGGAATTTCATCCAGGAAGTTCTAGTGCATTGGATTTAAGCAAAAGTTCATTTTATTTCATTACAAAAATACTTTTTAATGATTTCAAATGGTGGGTTTACCTCTCCTGTCTAGGAGTGGTCATACAATACATAATTAAAGAATTATTTTTATTTTATTTTATTAATACTGAATATCATATTCCAGCAGCATATTAAAAGCTCTTTTTAAGAAAAGACAAAAAAACCCAAATACCTAAAAAGGAGATCTACAATTACTATTTTAAATACTTTTTTTTTAGTTATAGATACAGAAGAAATTTAGACAGCAGTAAAATATTTTTTTTTTGTCCTTCAGGTCTGCCCTGTGCATTTTTCTGATTTCAACCATGTATTAAATAAACCACAAAAATTAAGTATATATATATTTATAGCTATAGATATATATATATATGTATATATAAAAATAAACAGCAAAATGGTGAATGTATAAAAGTATTAACACTCAAGACAGCTCTGGGTGGAAAGGGTTAAAAGTTCAAAACTTTCTCACCTTAGAGGTTTCCATACATTATGAAGAAATTACATTGTGAGGTTTGCTTTCACAGCGTTGATGTGCAGAGTGGTTAGAAAAGGGAAACATGGGCACTTCATACAATGTTTTACAAAAAACATCCAAGAGAAATAACAAACAACAACAATTTCAGGCAACAAGACCACAAGATAGCAAGTTAACAAACTTTGTAACCTCTTTTTCCTTTAAATATTAGGGTTTTATACAAAACACATAGTAAAATACCCATGTTATCAAATTACTTCACACAAGAAACACACTGAAGCTCTAGGAAGAAAAGTACCTTTGGAGTTTGGCACTAAATTTTTTTCACTGATTTCTTTTTTTATTATTATTATTGTTATTTCTTTAAAAGAAAAACTGATCACATTTTGCTGAACACAAACACATCTAAATTGTCCACAATAATAATTAAAAAAAATTGACACCAATGCGTCACGGAAGCCAACACAAACTTAATCTGGAATAGTTTCTTTTTCACATGAAAACTTTTTTTTTAAATTTTAAGCAAACAACTTTTTTCGTTTTTTGAAATTCGTTTTTTGTTCTGTTGCTGATGTTCTTCAAGTAAAAACCAATTTCAAACCTGTTGTTTATAAACACAGAACACTTAAAGACCAAAAGACCCATGATGAAATCACAACTTAATTCACAGAAGCACCAATGGAACGACAGCTTACAGTAACCTTTCTCCTGTACATTGAAACAGTATAAAATATAGGTAATTTTCATGTGCATTAATTCATGGATTGTCTAACTTGTGAGTCAGTTCAGCAAAAGGTGACACAAATAGGTAGCATTTGCCCTAAAACAGGGTAAATTTTTGTTATACTAATCTACAAAAAGTGGTTCTATATATATATTCTTAATGAGAAAGTGAGCCACCTAAAATGGCCTTATCAAAAAACTTTACACTGCCTGAAAAATGTAAAAACTATTACAGACCTCTAGAGACTTAAAATCAGACAGTTCTTCATTTCAAACTGTTTTGGAAGTAGTCTGGTAGAAACCAACATTCTGCGCCTCTGGACACATATTGCTATAGTGATCAGTGACCAGCCAGAATGCCAATCTCTGTTTAATACTTTCAAGTCTGTGTTTTTTTTTAACACAAAAAGAAAAAGGAAAAGGAAAAGGAAAAAGGAACAACTTAAAAACCCTAACAAAACATTTTGCCACAGGTTGTGTGTGTGTGTGTGTGTGTGTGTGTGTTTAATAATCCTATCATTAATTTGACTAGTAATAAATTTCAATCTTGCATAAATGCAGCAATGCTTTTCACATTGACTTCCCAGAATTCATATAGCTAGATGAGGTCACATGCAAATTTCAAAGGTTCAAACTATAGATCAAAGGTCAGTAGGAGAACCAAATTATGATGTGAGGTCAGAAAGACATCAGAAACAATGACGGGACGATGAAACTTTTTTTAAGACGCCACAGGGACATGCTAGGCAAACGATGAGCTAACGGGCATGAAGATGTCTAGGGAAAAACAAGGAAGAGGAAAAAAAGTTACGGAGAGTCTATGCAGCAGAAACAAAATCATTTTTAATGGGTGCAGAAGAAAACTAATGCAAATCTTTCATCATTAGAATTTCAGCCATTCACGCAATTTGCATTAACTGTACATTTGGTCGAGGACGGCACAATGAGAAAGCCCCCAAAAAGAATCCATCTGAAAGGAGTTAGAGAAGATGGATTCTCATTTTATTTGGGGAGGGGAAGGTGGGGGGGGGGGGGGGTTAAAGGTCCAGTTTCAACAAATGAAACATAAGGCAGGGAGGTGCAGTGTAGGAGTGGATTGGGGGGGGTTGGGAAAGAGAAAGATAGAATAGTCCAAAACAACTACACTTTCAACTAGAAAATGGAAACTACGAACAAGATAACCAGACGAAATACAAACAAGAGGATAAAAAGTATGAACCATAGAGGATGTAGAATTCAACGGTGAAAAAGCACCCATTCTTGGCACATATACTCCGGAGACTACTTTAAAAGGATCTAGCTAGCAGTGAGAGCTGCTCTTTAGGTATCCAATAAGTTAACAATAGGCAATAAATAACTTCCATTATTTCTGAGGCAGTAAAAATTTTTGTATAAAAATAGAAATGCTTTTTACAAATAAAATTTACAGGCCTGTGGCTTTCTTTTGTTATCTATTATTATTATCATCATCATCATCATCATTATTAAATTTTATCTTTCAAGAAACGTCAAGTATTGTCACTCTTTTTATTTATTTAGTTAAACCCTGTAGCTTTAGAAACAGATCTCTATGTCTTTTTTTACACTAATGCTAAAAAAAATCCTCATAGAACTTAATAAAATAAAATAAAAACATAAAAATCCAGCAAGTGAAATATATAAAGACAACCAGTGTTGAACAGGATAATGGATGTCAGTCTGAAGACCTACGAACAAAAAATCTTCAAGCTCCTTAATAAAAAATGAACTGAAGGAATGGAAAGAATTGGTGTCATTTCTACATAAGTTCCTTTCTCGGCCCAAGGCCATTGCGTTAGCTTACAAACTGCTGGTGCCATTTGGATAAGTCTAGGTTCAGACATACCAACTGCTTTCATTATCTCCATCAAAAGATTTAGGGGCACCAGGGCTGAGAAAGTTAAAATGGCTGCTTCCCCGCTTTCTCAACAGTTTTAACCGTTGAGATTTCAGAGAGTGTGTGTAGCTTTCTTTCAAAGATAATTAAACAAAGCTGAAGCTGTAAATCCAAATAAAATACATCGTTCAATATTTCTGTGATTAGCTTAGCCAAGTTTCCCATCATGGCAGGTGGGGAAAATGAAAGCAGTATTTTAAAAATCGCGGTCTCCGGGCGGTGGTTGACAATGTGTTCGTATGTTCTTTTTCAATGTACCCACCCCCAAGGAAGGGTGGGTTCGCTCAAGGGACTTACCCTAAGAAATCTAAATTAATTAGCAGTAAGCTTCTGTGGTAATGATCAGTAAGGTTTGCTGTCATTTTTGGAGCGCTTCAGCTGAACTTTCAAGCGTTTCATGCCAATCTGAAAGCCGTTCATGGCCTGGATAGCAGCTTGCGCAGAGACAGGATTGTCATAGCTAACAAAACCTACAATACACAATCGGGGTTGGAGGAGAAGAGAAAAAGGCACGCATCAGCACAAACCTGGCATCCTTTAATCACTGCTTGTATAGTTTGGCAAACTTTGCTGCCTAGAACACCTTCTCCTGATCTGGGAGATCTTTGAGATTACAATTCCCAACATCCTCCAGCTCTTCTAATCCCCACAGAAACTGACCCTGTAAATAGCTCTTCCTTGGGAAGCAAAGGGTGGAAAATGTGGTCAACTTTAACTTTTGACGTAAACTTGACAGGTGATTACAACTAAAACAAAACACGGCAACAAAATGTTGCCATGTGGAAGGCTTCTAATTAGGGTCCCAGCCTCTTCAGAGTTCCCCTCTGCCCATTATATTTTGGTATGTGTTTTCTTTCCCCTTAGGACTTTGGTGGACATACAATCCCATATCCTGAAATTGCCAGTATCTGTGGCGATCTCTCACTTCTGTCTCTGGAGACATTTTAAGATAGCTTCTCTGTGTGAACCAGAGAACGAACCTGTGTGACTTAGCCAGGGAAAGAAAAGGCTGTGATACCGAAAAAAGCTCAATCAACATCGCTCTGTGTCTTCCTCAGTATGTTCAGCCATCCCATCCCATTCCCTTAGACCAAGTTGTTTGGGTCTCTGCCCATCCCACCTCAATTGGCAAGTACAGGGGGTGCCAAAAATGTATACACATTTTAAGAGATGTTTCCTATATATTACTTTTCGAAGTTGGATTGAATTACAGTAGCAATGTATAGAATGAGGTTTGTTCAAAAGATGTCGTTAACCAAATGAATGCTAGCGTCACCATGCAAGAGTTTTTAATAGTTTTTTTCCTTTCTTAAAATGCATATACGTTTTTGGCACCCTCTGCATTTAGTGTTGCTGAGCTATCCTTTAGCTCCGTATGTGTCTGTGCAAGCACGAGGAGGAGGTTCCCCGCTTTTCAGGCCCTCTCCAGCTCCCACTGAAGATTTTTCATAGCACTGCAAACCCTGGGGTTACTCCCCCCCCCCCCCCGTCCCCCCATGCATGAGTGCCATAGCACAAGCAAGCTTGGCTAAGTCTTACGAGGAATAATCATTTGTCACGAGCGGCATGCGTTGAATGTGAGGATGCTGCAAAGCGGAGATCTTCTAATTGCATAGTTTTTCTTAATCCAGGAGAGAGGGTTTAATGTAATTTGCAAGTAATGAGTTAAACATGGAGAGTTTTCTTATACAATAGAGAATAATTAGGTGTCCATAATAATGTAGCTTGATTATATAATAAATGACATTCCCCCAGATAGGATGTAATTAGTTTTATGCATTTGACACTTTTTGTTGTGCATGTCAGAAAGGATTTTGTACGCTTTTATTCTTTCGTGTTTAACTGATTCAGCTGCACCTTTTTCTACCTTTGATGATTAATACCAGTTGCTGTGGGGGTGGTGGGCAGGGGGAACCATTACAGTTCCACAAGAAGCTCTCCCCTCCACTCCTTTTTCGCTGTAATGCTTACAGAGCACAGACCACAAAAACACCACTCCTACTAGGAGAACAGAATTGAATGAGAAGCATACCAGATGACCAAGTGTGTCAACCATTCATCATGAACAAAGCCTTTGTGGTTGTGGAGGCTCTTGGTCCACTCTGGGCTTCAGCCTGAATTGTGGAGGAGTCATCCAGGATGCTAAGCCCTTTGAATAGGTCTGGCACCATGGATAGCTCTTTTAAAGTTCAGGATGATATCTGGAGTGGATACACCTCCCAGTGACATCGAAACCAGCAAGTGCTACCGCTAGGCGGTGGATGGTGTCTTTAGTTTGGATGCCTTGCAGGCAGGCCTGTAATATCTGTGTTAGCCTCCCTGGTGGGAGAAGCCAAGAGCATTAATATGTGTTAATGGTGGAGAAACGTACCCAATAAATTGCAAAGGGGAGATGATCATAAACAGATCTGTAAAAACAAGCGTATTTGGATGTGGAGGCCATTGGACATTAGAACGGAATCAGTGTGTGGGGCACAGCAGTGGTTCTGCTGTGTGTTAAGATTACTGCAAGGTTTTGCTGCCTTTTGCTTTTGATACTGTCCATCGAGTTTTGGTACTGTTGGGGTTTTGGTACTGTCCATGGGGCAGAGACATCACCCTGCCAACAAAAGTGCGTATAGTCAAGGCTGTGGTTTTCCCAGTTGCAATGTATGGCTGTGAAAACTGGACCATAAGGAAGGCTGAGCGCCAAAGGATTGAGGCCTTTGAATTGTGGTGCTGGAGGAGACTCCTGCGAGTCCCTTGGACCGCAAGGCGATCAAACCGGTCAGTCCTAGAGGAGATCAACCCTGATGGCTCTTTAGAGGGCCAGATCCTGAAGGTGAAACTCAAATACTTTGGCCACCTAATGAGAAGGAAGGACTCCCTGAAGAAGAGTTTAATGCTGGGAACAATAGAGGGCAAAAGAAGAAGGGGACGACAGAGAATGAGGTGGCTGGATGGAGCCACTGAAACTGTCGGCGTAAGTGGACTCCGGGGGATGGTGGAGGACAGGAAGGCCTGGAGGAATGTTGTCCATGGGGTCGCGATGGGTCGGACGTGACTTCGCAACTAACAACAAGGTTTTGCTGAGGCTTATGTATAACTGATTCATCTGGATTTAAGCTGTTATCTACAAATAAGCAATTGGTAATTTCTGGCATGTTTGTTCCTTAGTTTAGATTTTGTTTTGCTCTGGTGTCATACGCAATCAAACCTAATGGGAAAAGATACTACGCAGAACAACCTTCCACCAGTTATGTTGCATTACCACTCTGACTTTACTCCAGAAGATGATGGGACTTGTAGTCGAACATTTCTGGAGGGCATCAGGTTGGGATAGGCTTGCTCTATTTAACCAGCTGATGATCAGTTAACCAGCTATAGGTAAGAACAGAATGGTTCAGATGTGAAAGCGGCATATGCACTCAACCCAAAGGTGAGGAGACAGCATGTGGGAAAAAGTGTCAGGTTTTAAACATTACATACCAAAGCACTTGCTTAGATTGGTCTGTTTGTCAATGAAGACCTTAGCAGAAATAACGTTCCCAAAAGGCATGAACATCTGCAGAATGTCCTGGTCTCCAAACTCCTGTGGGAGGTGATAAATGAAGAGGTTTGCTCCTTCTGGACCTTTAAGAAAGGAAAGAACTGACAGTCAGAGACCGGCTGTTCCATTCTGTGTGCATCATCTCAGAGCTTCCAGGTGAGCTGCTTCTAGAGAGAAGGGTCTCAGTGCAACCAAACAAAAGGCATTGTGCCTCTTTAATGGATTTTTTTCCTGGTGACAAAAAGCATGGAAAGTATGGTGGGAAGATAGGGGAGACATCAACCACCTGTAAAATTCCATGAAAAGCTTTGTCTGGAAGCAGCACCAGTTTGTTCTCTAACACATGCATGCTCTGGGAGTTTGCCCAGCTGCGCTAAAGGGACAATATTATTGTTAACTTGCATGTCGATATGATTTGTTAGTGCTGCTCCGTGTGACACGGAAGAAGGTTGCTGGTTGCAAAACTCTGGCTCCGTTAGCTTCCACGGACTTCCTTTCAGCTTGGCAGAGCACAAGAGGAAGTCCGCAAGTGCCAGAGGGGAAGAGTCCATGGAACTTTATCCCAACCCTGGGTACAATTTATATTGCCATTTATTTTAATATGATCAGGCCTCCTGTAAACAAATTTATAGTAATAACTAAACGCCATGCAGGTCTCTTCTGGGATAAATGGTATGTAGTCAATGGTTTATATTCAATAAGTCTAAAAACCATGGCTAGTATAGTGTTTTTTGAGGCACTGATCCTGTTGCCCTTCTAAAATCCTCTTCTTACTGGGCTTACATTGCCTCCCTGCTCTGAAATGTTCATGGTCCGTTGCAGTTAAAAGAAGGATATAGCTTTCTGGAGTACACGATACAATTTCCTTTGAATCTAAAATGAGCAAGAATTAGGGTAAGGGGCACTCCCTCAACAGAGGGAGGTCAGGAGATCAGGGAGGAGGAATGTAAGCAATGGGTTAGGCAGGAAAGAGAGATGGAATACTTATTTTGTTAAATATCTTGTAATTAGTATTAATTTAGTCTCAGTATAAAGTTACTAGGGTTTATTTTGCTCTATTGGCAATGAGCAGGATGCAATCAATCATTTATTTGCTTCCCCTCGAGATGCTCAATTAAATAAGGAATCTTTCAAAATAGTGCCAATGGGTCTTGACGTTAACCACCAAACAAAGTCTAGTTACAAAAGTCACATGGTTGCATTATATGTGGAATCCAGATACAGGAGTTCCTTCCATAAAAGAAATGCATTTCAAAAAGGAAACCAAACTGGTCTCAGTTCTGGAAAAGCGGCACATACTGTCTGGTTCCTCACAACACGGCAACCATCATGGGCAACTAGCTGTGGTGCGTTATTGTGCTGTGTGAACCTGTAAGGTGGGCTGTTTTGGGGTGAGAAGCCACCCTGACAACCCACGGTCTGTTCTGGGGGTTACTGGACCCAAAATAGACCATCCAAACCTGAGTGACCAACCCCATCTTGGATCCAAGGAAGTGATGGACAAGCCGCTCAGGGAGACCCAACCACCTCTCCTTGCCACTTCTGTCATCTCTGCCTCTTTGCTGCCAGTGACAACCTCTCCGTCAGTGACTAAGCGGTGCCACTTGGGCACTTGGGAAGGGGTGTCACCGGGAGACCTCGCAAAAGGGGGAAAGATGGGGAGGGAAGAGGAAACATGTCCCAAAAACATGTCCCATGTTGTGCACAGCATGGTAAGAGGGTGAGCGTGGCTTCCTTTGGGGTACTGATGACAGCAGCAAAGGAAGAAATAATTTGCAGGACGGGTTAGGACATGACTCAACCCTTCATGCGTTTTCCACATTAATGAACAGTGGCTGGTAAAATTCTTGGAGTGAATGCCAGTGAAATACATTATGGGGACTGGGAAAGTGGATGTTTAAAGGTCCCCTGTGTACTCTCTATTCACAATGTTTACATGTGTTCACTCACACAAAGACAAAATTCCAGATCTTATCATGATTGCCTCAGAAACACAGAAACAGAGCGAGTCAGAAGAGGCCTCCTGGGCCATCTAGTCTGATCCCCAGCTCCAGCCAGCTCTGCTCATGACATTGCCTTGACTTTGGAAAGGCCATTAGGAGCCCTAAGCTATTCCCACCCTCCTGGACTGTGAGGCTCCCAAAGAGTCCAACCAAACAGGAGAGCAGCATCCTGCTTTCTGAAGTGAACTATATCTGCTCAAGATGCTCTGCCTGCATGCGCTTAGCATCTGTCTTTGGAATGGTGTTCAGTCCTCTGGGCCGTATGCCACGCTGCCTGGCGCTGGCGGGAACCACACTCACACAAGCCGAGAATCTTGTGCAACCAGCACGTGCAGAATGGAAGGCTCAGTAAAGGCTGCTGAAGGAACAGCTCCCGCCTAGTCCCGTGCTGCCATGCTCCATTTGGGCTCCAGCCGGCCTCCTGTTTTGTCTGCTAGCCTTAGATGCTGCCCCTTGTCCGTGGCCGAGTGTCGGCGACTGCAGCGGAAGGACGGCGCATGACCCCGCCGAACAGACGGCAATGCAGCCGGTTCAGGGATGCTGCGTTCTGTCGGTCCTGAGGTTGGCAGCGCCCCCTCCCTGCCTTCCTCCCCTTGCTTCCAATTCCCCGGTGGAGTGAAGGGCTCACCTTCTTTCTGGCTGCCTGCAGCGCTCTGTTGTTGTAACAAGCTTTGACTGTACAAGGTGGGCAGCGCCGCGGCGGCGTACTGCTGGATTCCTGAGTAGGCTTGGGTGAGGGCATCCATCGTACCGGCCGCACCGTTCGTCAAGCCTGTTGCACCGAGTCCTCCGTTCAGGGCAGCCATACCTGAGAGCATTTGAGCAACTTTACAAAAAACCCAACAATAGAGAAAAGAAATTCCACTTATTCATTAGTGCTTTCCAAATATCGTTGGCATTAATATGACACCGAGGACAATGCTTCTGCATGCAAAAAGAATTAAAAATAAATCGGGACGTTTCACCAGAAGGCACAGGAGAACGACAGCAGCAAAAACACCCAAAAAGAAACACACGCACAGAGACGTCGGTTAAGAATTGTTTGGAGTGTCCACTCTTACACATGCAAGCTGGCAAGCGCAGAGGCCTAATTTATAGCCACGATTTCACAGAGGTGGCAAATTATGCTTAAAAACGGCCGTGTTTAGGAGAGAGATGCTAGCCTAGCCTTCTCCTTGGTTTTCTATGTGCAGGGATTGAGAAAAGAATACAGAGGACTGTTCATTCCCTAGCTGCAGGACCACGTGGTACAGTCCAAGCACGGGTTTACCTATGAAGGGACCCCAACGCAATGGTGGCACATGTGCTCTGCGGGCAGAAAATCCCACTTCCAAGAACCTGAGATCTTCTGGCACCCTGGAGACCTGCATATCTCAACCGCGACCTCTATGTGATCATCAGCTCCTTCTCTCTGGCTTGTGCCTTTACAGAGTCAGTCTTTCCTCCACACATTCTTATGAGCCGAGCGTCTAAAAGGGCAGATGACCAGGGGCATTGGAATGTGGAAGGAAGAGCTGTATGGGGTCCATGACACTGCAGGCATTGCCTGTTTGAGGTCCTGGGTTCAATGGAAAGCTCTCCCAAGAAAGACACTCAGAAGGACTGGGAAATGCCACTACCAGAGTCTGGGGTGCTCTTAAGGTTGGATTGGATGGATCGTCTACTTCAGCCTTCTTCAACCTTCTGCCTTTGACACTTATGGACTGCAACACCCAGAATTCCCAGTCAGTGGCCCTGCTGGGAATTCTAGGAGTTGTGGTCCAAATGCCTCTGAAGGCCACCAGGTTGGGGAAGGCTGGTCTACTTTGCCTCAATATACAATAGTCAGTTCTATCATTTGGTGGCAGATGATGCTCTAAGGCCCAAAATTCAGCATCTACTACATCTAGTTCAAAAGATCTCAGATAGCAGGGCTGGGAGAAGCCTTCCTCTTGCCCAAGACTCCTGGACAGCTTTTGCTAACTGGAGTACAGTAGCCTTCCACTATCTGGTGTCCATCAGATGTGATGAACTTTATTCCAAGGAGAAGGCTGGAAGAAACAATTAAAGGAGAGATAAACCAATATCTGGCTCACTCCAAAACTGCCTTACATGTTTACACAAATCTCTGAGTATTATCAGCTTCCAAAAATATTCCAAGTGAGAAAGAGGTAGTGTAAGTTAGACTCTATTAAACAAAGGAAATGCCTCTCTCTCTCTCTCGCTCTCTGTGGAATAAACACTTCCATTAAGCTGTGAAATGGCTCTTTCTCCCTTTCTCAAAAGAAGCATGAGAAGATCACTCAGAGAACTCATTTAAAGCAGGATTGGTAGTAAAAATGCTTGGAAACAATAGTGGTAGACAGAAGAGGAAAGTGATAATGTAATGCTTCTCCTCCCCGCCCCCCTCAGTCTTTTAAACTATATGCCTTTACCATATGTTATTTAATAATTAGGACAGCTACACAAACTTCTCTTCCTGTCTCTAGCATACTCTGTGCCCATTAAAAGGATTCTACTGGATAAATTGTACTTTTTGAAATTAGCATTATTCAGCCAGCACAAACACTTGGCAGAGATGTGATATCCTATTGCTTTTCCTTAATAATCTGCCATACACCTGAAAGCTGTGGGGTAATGGAAGGGTTGGGGGTCGGGGGTGAGAAAGAAAAAGAAGCACTGATGTATTTGACGCCACCAACGCATAAAGAAATCAAGAGACAACAAAGTAGAAAAGAGGAACATATTTTACAACCTCCAGTTGAATAGTATTAAATTCAAACATCAATGATGGACAACCTCACAAAACGTATTTAGAAAAAAGAATAAAAGCTGAAACTTAAGAAATGATAGCATTTGTGAAAAAGTTACTATGGGTTTATTGTATGTCTTGTAGGTGGTAGCACCAGTGGAAACATTTCTCCTTGATGCACGCACAAGCTTGTCTTTGGTATTGACGGTGCTAATACTATGAGTAAGCCAGACTGCCTAATGGATGGATAGATGGCAGGTTCACGATAGCACACACATCCAGGCCATGGAAGACCTGGACACCGCCGATGCAGTCACTACTACGTTCTCCAATGTCTGGAAGTTCTCCAGTGTCTTTATGTTTCTCTGCCCAAAAGTGACTTTTGACCCCATCTGTGAAAGCCTTCCCATTCCCTGCCCCGGTCACTGTGGGACCGAGTTGCATGAGGAATCAGTTTTTGGGTGGGAGCCCATCAGATTCTGATGGATAGTTTTGGATTGATCTGGAGCCTACAGAGAATTGTTACCTGCTATATGATTTCTGAAGGGTGCACCTATCCTGTTTAACTGTGGGATTTGCCACCATAAAGGTACAACCCTTTGGCCTCCTGACCTCAGTGTGGGGGCACGAAAGGATGAGCCCCTGCCCTGAACCCTTCACACCCGGATGGCTGCCTCCATCTTGGAGAAGAAGGCACCAGGGCTTATCGGGTGGGCGGGGGGGACAAGAGGTCAACTCCTGGCAGTGCCCCAGCTTCCTTCCCTCTGCGTCCCTGGAGCATCACTTGAGTCTCTCTGTGTCAGAGCGTGTGTTTGAAGGATCGGGTCCATGACAAGGGGCAGGGTGAAGAGAGAGAGCGAAACACATCCTACGGGGTAGAGAAGGCTCATACATCTTGCCAAAATGGAGCACTTCGGAGCATCAAAATCTTCCTGGCACATCTAATGCAACACTAACTCCTTCTCCACTAACTTCCCAGATACTCTTGAAACAATACTCCTCCTCATTCTTTATGAGTCACGGCTACCCCAGAGTGATGAAAGAGGATGCTCATCAAATGGAAATATCCTTTCAATGACATTCATTGCTGGAATTGTCAAACGACATGGGAAAATATGGAGATGCTTGTCCGTGTGAGGACAAACACACCTATCTAAACATAATTGTCATTCCCCTTTTCCAGGGAACCACAGCAGCTCTGTGAGTGTTGTGTTCACAAATTCTCCAGATTCCATGTTCAAGGCATTTTGGAGTAGGAGGCATGTGCCAGGCAAACTCATCTACATTTGTCGTGTAGACGTGTCCTTAGTGTTCATCTCATTAGCCAAAGAGGCAGCCAAAGTCTCAACTTCAGCTCCAATATCATTCAAGCAGTAGAGTCCTAGCCTTAAATGGTTGCCTGAACTAAGGTTTGCATTTAGTAGGGAAGGCAAGATGGCTAAGATCTTGCCAGCTGCTTGTCTCCTTATAGCTCCTCTCACCTCATTCGTTTCTCCAAGATGTAATCATATATATTCTTTTCAGTGTCAGGCAAAGCCCTTTTTATTTTCCCAATATTTTGACAGTGAATTGGTTTTATTCTTGTTTTTATCATTATTTATTGGAAGCAGTGTGTTGTGTGTTGTTGTTATGGTTTGCTTTGTTTTTGGGTTTAGCATTGTGCAAAAAGAAAAAAGGTGCCATTTCCCTGACACCAGGTGGCCAGCCAAAGCCAATTTCGTTCTTGTTTGCTCAGTGGAACCAAAACTTAAGCACCGCACAGCTGCTTCAGCCGTTTGCTCGGTTTCCTCCTAAGCCAGAAGTAGAGGAAAGAGTGCGTTTTGCCTAGCAAATTCTGCCCTAGCCTTCCTCAACCTGATTCTCTTCAGGTGTTTCAGACCACAACTCCTGGTATTCTTGGTTGGATCTTGACTGGAGCTGACGTCTCAAGCATCTGGAGGGCCCCAGATGGTGAGAAGTTGCTCTGTGATAGCAGGAAGCATGAGATAGCACAGGGGTGGGAAAGAAAGGGTCGCTTCCGGGCCAGAGATGCAAAGGACGGTTTTTCGATTTAGACATCAGTGATCTGTGAATCTTTAAAAGATGCAATGTATACACATGTTCCACTCAGCTCCCAGGTGGTCTCCCATCTCAGCTGTTCTCAGTGTTGTTGTTGGATTTGTTTGGCTTCAGCAGCAGAGCAGGGGCTTGTCCCTTTGGAACATCTCATGAAAGGCCCCTTTTCACAGTCCTCTTAACACGTGGGAGACCCAACTGAGTTCCATCTGAACAGCCTCGAGCCAAGCTCATCCTGCTCACGGACATGAATAACTTTCTAACTGCTGGAAGGCAGCGGCATTTCAATCAGTGTTGCCTGGGCAGACCTGAGTTCACCTCCTAATCTCCTTCAGCGCCTGGAATGGCACTCTTGTAGAGGACATGGCAGGACATTTAAATGGCGTCTCACAGACCAGGGCAGGCCACCGGAAGTGAGGGTGGGCCGGGGCCTCGCGAGCCGCCAAGGATGGCGAACACGGGAGCAAAGACGCAAGAGTAGGCCTAGCTGCTAGGAGTGAGAGAGGGGGCCATTATGGGCACTTGTTCTCAAGCACTCCTAGCTGGATGTTGGAGGAATCAAAAGGAGAATGTGAAGCAGAACTGGGAATCTGGGCCATCTCGAGACACGGAGATGAGAGAAGAGGAGGCGCTTAGCTCAAGGCCGGGCTCCCCAGCTTGGCAGCCATTCTCTGGGAGTAGCCCAGAAGTTCAGCTGGCAGGAGAGACGTGGAGCAGGGGAGCTCCTCAGACACACTCCAGGTGGCCTGGGCTCTTGAGCCCATGATGCAGTGTCAAGAGAAGGGCAGCCCAACTAGAGGATAAGCACACGGAGAGGAGGCACGCTCATAAGGAGAGTTCTGGAGGTGATTATGAGATTGTTCTGTGCAAGCTCAGAGATTCATTCTGGGTGTTTTGTGCTTTGGGTCAATAAAGAACACTTTGCAAGCAAAAAGATCTGTGATTTTTGAAAGCATGGAGGAGCATTGACTCCTGACCTTAGCAATTAACAATGCCTAATTAAAAAAAAAATCCTTCCATACACTTTGCTTGCCAAGGAGCCATGCGACTTCCCATTATATTTTCACCTGCCCATAGTAGGTCTTTCCTGACATGCATATACCACTCCCCCACCTTCATAAGGACAAGGGATTTACAAGACAAGACAGGACAAGACAGAAAGGCAGACAGAAAGGGAGAGAGGAAAAACTTGGTAACGATTACAAGGAGACCTTCATGTAGAGAAGAGAAGTGAGCAAGTTCCGCTGAGGACATGCAGCCTGCTGGGCTTGCTGTGACAGCCCTGAGATTGGGGATTGGCAAATCCATCCCTTGCACTGAAGAAAGCAAGGCAAGGGATCGCTGCAGTAGCTAGGAGCTAGGAAGTGGGAAGGACAGCCCAAGCAGCATCGCTCCCGTTATTATCCACAGCCTTTGGATAAACGATTGCAATAAAGCAGAACAGAACTGCGCTTTCACGCTTACAACCTCGATCCTTCCCAATTTCAACAACGGATTGTAACCACGCATGTTGCGACCGACGTGTGTCAGTGGCCTAATTACGTCTTCAGACAGTCATAAAGCGGTTTGTTTCTTCACCCAGATCTGCCCCAGGTAAAAAATCAAGCGGAGAACGGCGGCGTGTTTGCAGATGCAACATGCCGTCGTCCAATTTTCTGCAGGCGAGGAAGCCCTCTTGGCAATGCAGGAATTTGCAGAGTGAGCGAAAGTGCTGTAGGCAAACACGGCATCATCTGTTTTCCTTGTGGGGACAGGGCTGTGAGGAGAAACAAGCCGTTTTCTGATGGCATGAATGGCTTTCAAGTGTTCGGCAGTATCTGAAGCACAAGGAGCTGCAACCCAAAACTTGCACTCAGAGTAAGTCACCATTTTTGTGAGAAGGGGATTTGGAGGGGAGAATGGTGGGGTGTGGGTGGGGTGACCCTTTCCCAAGCTACTCTTTCCAACTTCAAGCCATTCTCCAATGCAAAGGCAGCAGGCAGGCAGGGAGGGGATGAGCCCCCCCCCCCCCGCTTCTCTGCTGTCTACAAATTAGCCACTGGCAAAGTGTCTTCCTTAATAGAGAGCCACTGGGGTTTGTCTTGCCTGTTTGCATTTAACTTTTAAATGAGTCGTAAGTCTGTATCACAGCTCGAAATGTGCAGCAAATCTTTAAGAATGCGTTGGATCCAGATGTGTGACCGCACAAAGCAAGCCCATTGAAACCAAGGAGCCTTGTGGTAGTCCTGAGTTCCTTTAAGCCCATTTGTTTCAAAGGCTCTTCTTTAAATTTGACCCGGTCTGGATCCAACCCAGGGACTGCCAGGGGGTATATTCTTACTCCGATCCTCTGGTCCATGCACACTGCCACCATTTTTTAAAAAATTGGTATATTGTTATTATTTATGTATTTATGTATCCTTTGTGAGCCGCCCCGAGGCTTTGTTGCGATGGGGGCAGCATAGAAATGTTTTAAATAAATAAATAAATAAATACACAGAAGGGTCCAGTGAACGAATGGCTATCTACACCTATTTATCCATAGATGTATCTCCATTTGGGCTACCTCTCCACCAGAAAAGGGGGAGGTCTTGGGGCAACTTGTTCCCATGCCCTTTTGCAGGTACAGCTGGGCTGTGTGTGAACCTTCACATGAGCTGGGCCAGTTCTGAATGATCAGCAAAGCACCCAATAGCCTATATCAGAGGGATGAGGCAGCCTGAGATGTTGGGAGGGATGGATGTACATGAATGGAGGTCCCCAAGAAGAAGGAAAACAAAAAGCCACAACATCATGCTGGCATGGTAAGAACTGAAGATAACAAGAACCCAAAATAGGTGTCTATTGCAAGAATGCAGATTTGAGACGCAGACATTTGTCAGGGGATGAAACACAAACGCCACAGGATGGCCAACTTCCACGAGTGCAAGTAAGAGAGAAACGCACTAAAATCCGCAATGCAGCCCTCTGAGCATGTCTAGCTATACTACCAGGTACTTAGTTTGTTCCACAAATTGGGTGAAGAAGGTCTCGAATCTGCAGCTTTTCTGTGACGAGTATTTCAAACGGGTTGAAGTGTGCCAGGGCTGGCCTCAGGTCCAAGCTAGATATCCAGCTGATACGCGGCACAGGCTATGCCCCTTGTTTCCCCCTGGTTAATGACAGATGGGATGGCGGATCTTGACTTTCAGCACTGCAGAGAGGGCCGGGGGCTCCTCTCCCTGGAGCCAATGATTCATTTTCACTGGCACGGTGGGAAGGCCCTCCCAGTCATGCTGGGGAGGGAAAGCATAGCTGTCCCCTCCTTGCAGGCTGTGTGGCACGAAAGAATTGCCCCTGCCTCTAATTAATTAGAAGAAAGCAAGTGATGCACCTGCATCCAGGAAGCATCTGCTCGGCCTTTGGTCCCACTCAAGAGGGACTGTCCATAGCTCCTTCTTGCCGATACCGACTGCTGCAGGTGCTCTGCTCATGCTCCCCACGTGAGGTCCCTCGCCTGTTCATTCCTGGAGGCCATATTGCGCGTCAAGACCTCCAGCTGCCTATCTAAAATAAGTCTCCGCCTGCAGAAGTTCACACCCAGCAAAGCAAACCAGTCAATTTCCGAGTTAGTATGACAGTTTTTGTGCAGAAATGCCACTCCGGGCTAAAGTAGCTAGTCTCCTTTGAGGTATGTGCAAAGAAGCATCTAATGTTCATTATAGGATGCCAGGATTAGGCACATCCTGGAGAAGGCAGGAATGCTAGGAAAAGTTGGAGGCAGAAGGAGGGAAACACTAACTTCACAAGGAAGTCACAACCTTGAGTTTACAAGAGCTGAGCAAGGCTATTAAAGAACAGGGCTTGGAGGATGCTCATTCACAGGGTGGCCACAACATGGAGATGACTTGACAGCAAGTAGCGAAACAAGAGAACATTGGAAACATGACTGGCCTGCATATCATGGGATAGATACGAGTAGATACGAGACTCTATTCTAAACCCATTATCTGAGGTATCTCCCTGTCCATAACTGAATCTTAACTTACTACAGAGGTGGAAAGGGCATCCTTTTCTTAATTTAGGGGGCAAAGAAATAGCCGCTCCAGCACGAACAGCAGAATGTGGGCCTCATAAGATGGGGAAAGGGTGCAGGAGTGTGGCTGATGGTTACAGTGATGTGGGGCTCAGGTTTAGCTCAAATCAGAAAGTAAACAAATCGGCTCTTGGATTTGTCTGTTGCTACTCTTATGTGCTGCAGAATGCAGTTTTATGTCCTATTAAGTGTTGCTTGGTACCCCTGCAAGCTGGTTATGATTCCTTCTGCTTGCCATACCACATGCTGCATCTGGAACTATACCCATCTCTTGTGGGTATTATTAAACTATTAGGAATACTGGAGATGTGGCCTACAGTTCTAGTGATCCACAAATGGAAACCCTGAATGCACATGTAGGAAGAGTCATTGGATCATGGCCTTTATCAGAGCACAAGGTGATAAGACAAGTCCTGCTGGAGCAGGTCAAAAGTCCATCTAGCTCAGCACTCCATACACACGGTGCCCAACCAGCTGCCCACAGGATCCCTCCAGCAGGATGGGTGCAAGACCTCCCCCTGCCCAAGCTCCTCAGCAACTGGTGTATTCAGGCAGGCCACCTCTGGTCAAGGAGGCAGCCCACAGCCAGCAGGACTGGTAGCCACGGAGAGTCTCCTGCCTCTGTCCAATAACTTTTTAAAAGCTGTCCAGATTGGCAGCCACCACCACTTCCCAGGGCAATGAATTCCATAGTGTAACTATACATTGTATGAACAAGCCCTTTCTTTTACTTGTCCTAAACCTCCTACCCATCAGCTTCATGGGATAACCCCAGGTTAGAGTGTTACGGGAGAAGGATAAAAATGTCTCCCTCTCTACTTTCTCCACCTTAGGCATACTTTTAACACCTTTATCATGTCTCCTTTTAGTTCCCTTTTTTTCTAAGCCAACATACAGCCCCCGATCTTTTGTGTTGTCTTTCTCTCCACTTTTTCCAACTCAGTAACATCCCATTTTATTCCTACTCTACATTTGACTTGTACCATCTTGTGTAACTTTTCGCTGAAAGCTGAAAATAAACCACCACCACTGGTGAAAGCGTTCTTAAAAACTAGGAGTAGCTACTACTAATGGTGTCTGGCTACTACTAGTAATAGCTACAATTAATAGTAGCAAGCCTCCTCCTCAATTATCTCTTCAGTTGAGAATGACCTGCCTCCATAATCTCTTGAGCCTGAAGAAGATTCTCAAGGACAATGACAAGTCTAAAAATGTGTACATCCTGCAAGAAAATTTTGTGAGGAAATAGTAACATTTGCCAACAGTAAGCATTGTGATGGCTTAACTGGACAGGACCTGCTTAGGCCGTGCTACAGAAGATGCCTGGAAGGGAACTTAAACCATTTAGCCAGTCGTTCAGCAGAAGTAAACAACATTCTGTGTTTACTTAGCAGAAGTAAACAACATAGCAACATTCACTATATCATAACTATTAGTGTTCCTACGGTGATTACAGGGAAATTGCTGGAGTGTCCACTACAGCAATAAATACTCACTGTTTACGGTACCTGCTAGTGCATTAATATTATTCAATCCAACAGTGGCTCCAGCCAATCCTTGGAGAGTCCCCAGAGAAGTCAAAGAATTCATGGCCGCCCCAGCTGTAGAATTTGCTGTTGATGCAGCCACTAAAGGAGGCAAAAGAAGGACAAGTCAAAAGACTGTGCCAGGACCACCATAAACGTCAGGCAGAGCTGATGCAAGCGCTTATGAAATTGACCAGCAATGTGAGGAGAAAGGTTCAAAATGGCTCCTTCCACTCTGTTCCACTGATTCATTTAGCGATTTCCCAGCAGTTTTCTTTGGGAGTCTCTCTGAATGCGACAGGGCTTGCTTCTTGATTTGACATGCACAGGACTGTCGTGTGAATCTCCAACGCTCTGCCTCACCTCCAAATGTAGCACTGAACACTGTATAAATCTTTGGCTCTGCCGTTCCATAAAGCATCCTAGGGGTTTTGCAAGGCATGAATGCTTCTCTATTCTGCAGAAATATTTAAACAACCCATTCTGACACGAGGAGAACGGCTTCAAAACAATCAGTGTCCTTCCGAGCCAGGTGCATCAGTCTACCTCACCCTGGAAAACCACAAAATTCCTGCTGCAAACATAAGAAAGCAGAAACCCCTGGTGCTTGACTGGAGGAGTTGCCAGAACCACGTTTCAAGTGGCATGAAGTCCTCTTTCAAGACAAATAGACTTGGGGGTGGGAAGTCATGTGGATTACAGATCAATCCTCAAAGAAAAGAGAGAAGTGAAAGAGAGAACAGTAGTGTTTACTACTAGGGATCCATTGTCCTAAACTTCTCTTAGTGGTCCACCCATAGCCCAGCAACAGGTTGATAACAGTCCAATACAGAAAGCTAAAAGGAGCATTTTCTTAATTCAGTGGTACAGCAGGACTTGCTTCCTGGAATAGGTTTGCACAGTAAATCTCTTTTGCATCCACTGGTTTGCTTTCAAACTGGGTAGCCAGTAAGACCATTATTAGGCATTAATGTATATACTGCATCAATATGTTGAGACAATACCATACCACACTGAAGAAGGCCAAATTTCCCCACTAGATCAGCATCCTATACAAAGCCCAGTGATCAATTCCACAAATTAGACACAGAAATTATTGCCTGGGCTGGAAGCACAACTTGTAAGCCTTCCTTGTAACAACTGACTGTCCACTCTACCGGTTTAGTAGCTGATTGCTCAGAATGCTAATAAGGCATTCTACAACCAGCATGAATTATTAAAGGAGGTTGAACGGGGATAAGTTAGCTGTCCTTTTTGTGCACCGGAAAAGAAGAGCAACGTTATTAGCTTTCATAGGATGTGCTACGTAAATGCTAGGAGGAGCTTAATTCGATGCTGACGCGGCAAACCATTAATTGTCAGACTGCCTGGTTTACGAAAATCTATTAGATACTGTGAAAAATATTACAAATTGCTGCCTTCACGAACTCCCACTACAACAAATCAAACAGATACTGAAAGTCTGTTGTTCTGAATTGAATAATCTCGCAGCGGTGCTTAATAAACAGCTGGTAGTTGTCCCCGGGTTCTTAGAAAAACTTGATGTACCGACACTGTAACACCGCCAGGCAGCTTTTTTCCGCTGCCGTTCTATCGTCGGTTAGCCTAATTGTTAGAGAAGATGAAATACGGAGCAGCCTCACATCCGGGGGTTTTGCCTTCAAGAATTATACAGTGGCAGCACTTTGTCTTGGTCGCAGAGGATTGATTATTCTTCTGTTTTGTGCAGGGAATGTTATTCTGGGATATAAATTTGAGCATTCATGTGCTACAAGAGTAGCATTCAGAAAACTAGTTAGTAATAGAAGCAAAGAATAAATCGCTATTACACAACTGGTGCACGTTCAAGAACAGTGCATGCTGGTAACTGCTCATTAACGGGAAGGCTTGAATCTGTTACCCTGGCATGCAAGTGTTCCGTGTGTAGGGGTATTTTATTTTTTTTGTATGGGGGCCGTTTCTTCATTGACCTCCCTAACGTTGGAAGTGGCACAGCCCTGACACTAGAACCATCAACTCTGTGAGTGTGGTTAGACTGAAGGAGGGTGAGTTACCAAGTTGGGCTTCATGGTGGACTTAGAATCGTGGAATCATAGAATAGCAGAGTCGGAAGGGGCCAGGAAGGCCATCAGGTCCACCCCCTGCTGTTGCAGGACACCAAGTCACACCATCCCACTCAGAGGGCTGACAGTTTCGCCTTGAATGTCTCCAGTGTGGGAGAGCCCCCAACCTCTCCAGGCAGTGTATTGCTCTTGAACCCCAGTCTCCCCAATTTAACCACAACACTTGAGCCATTTCATTTGACTCATATAGCTGCTCTCCAGAAACCGTAACAACCAGTTAATACCTGATTATTCCACGGTAATATCCAAATCTCTGAGTGTTAATATATCCGGGGAAGCTAAATACGGCTGGCTATTCAAAACAGTTTATCAGCCCAGCCAATGAAGAAGAGTAATTGGCACAGCACAGCCTCCCTTTGCAGTATCTTTCCTCAGCCAGGCGTAATATCTGCATCATTCAAGCTGGTGGCAATATATATATTACTGTTTGCTACTCTGCAGTTACTCGTTGCATTATTTCCTGAGTGGAAAAGGCCGAATGCCTGGTGTGTAATTTGCACTAAAGGTGCGCAGGCAACACAACCACCTGTTCCTGGAGATCCTTTCTCTAGCTTATGACTACAGATCCTATCATCTCTGAGTACTGGCCATGCTGGCTGGAGCGGATGGGAGCTGGAGTCCAAGAACATCTGGAGGGCAAGGAGTTATCTTTGGAACATCACTTTGGGCACCAAATGGCTGAGCGGTGCCTGTTTAGTTGTCCATCAAGTCTCATGAGACAGACTCCAACTGGCGGGCAAGGCGAGGAGGAGGTGAAATGCCCCCCTATGATCCCCAGCGTACATTGTGTGCCCCCTTTTCACACTTCCCATCCCAACGATGGCTACTTTGCTAGCTTAAAAATCTGCCTGGGCGTGTTGCACCGCCTATGGATCCAATCAACACGGATGGCCACATTCGCAAGAACAGCCATGACACACATGGAGCACAGCTTCACATTTTACAGGGGAAAAACGGGACATCCCTGAATGATCCCTATCACTAAAGACCAATGCATGAGTCATGTCCCTTTCAGGGCTCGCGCTCTGCTGACCCTACGTGGCGTTTGCTCCCAAAGCTCAATGCTGCAAGGCCTTGGGCTGGAGCAGTTCCCAGCCATCAGGAGAGAGACAGAGGTCTGACCAAGTGAAATCCTGCTGCCCAGTTTACTGTGCTTTTCTCTTTTGCCTCCCAGTAAGCACACCGCTTGCTTACTTGCTGGAGAAGACTCCTGAGAGTCCCTTGGATCGCAAAGGGATCAAACCAGTCAATCTTGAAGGAAATCAAGCCTGAGTGTGCTTTAGAAGGCCAGATACTGAATATGAAACTCAAATAATTTGGCCACCTAATGAGAAGAAACAACTCACTGGAGAAGACCTGGATGCTGGGAACGATTGACGGCAAAAGGAGAAGGGGACGGCAGAGGATGAGGTGGCTGGATGGGGTCACTGGGGCAGTGAGTGTGAGCTTAGGTGGACTCCGGGGGATGGTGGAGGAAAGGAGAGCCTAAAGGAGTGTTGTCCATGGGGTTGCGATGGGTCAGGCATGACTTTGCGACTGAACAAAAAAAGCACACAGTCAGGAATGCAGCAGCTCTGTGGCTCCATCAGCTCTGTGGCCACAGGACAGTCAGAGCAGGGAGTCTGGGTTGAGGGCTTGCCTCTGTAGGAACTTCCAGACCAGACAAGCATCAGCTGGGAGACCTGTGGGGCCCGATATGGGGACAGGCTCTTCCCTCGGGCCTTTGTCTCGGCCATGAAGGTCCTCCCGACTTGCTGTGGCGTGTCTTGGCTCCCGGTGGCTGCTTGGACATTGCTGCCTGAAGCACCACCCTGCTTCGCCGCACTCTGCTCGTCTGTCTTACCTGGCCCTGTCCTTGGACTTGGCCCCCCTTGCTTACCGGAACCTCTCGCGCTCATTTCCTTTCCCTGGTCTTCCCTTCCTGGTGTTGACTCTGCACTGTTCTGTGACTAGGCCTGTACTTCTGGCCCCTTACTGGGCTCCGGATGGTCCTTGGACCCAGCCTTGGCCTCTGGCCCATCCACTGGACTCTGCCTTGTCTTGGACCTTTGGTGCTGGGTCCTAGTGCCTGCTCTGGTTCTACCCACCAGACTCTGCTAGGCTTTGAACCGGACTGGGGCCAGCACACACGGGCAGGGGAAATTTAGAACAGGGGTGTCTGACCTGCAGCCCGCAGGCCACAGGTGGCCCAGGATGGTTATGAATGTGGCCCAACATAAAATCGTAAACTTACTTAAATCAGTGAGGTTTTTTTGGTAACTCAGTTGCACCGTTCTCAAGCATGAACTCCGTAGATGACAACATTGTGTTGCAATGTCATGTAAAATAAATGTGCATATGCTCTTGCTATTTGTATGGATGGTGGTGGCAGGTATCACAAAAATTATGCACAGACCATTTTTTTATTTTTGCTCACCAGCTTTTGCTAGTGTTTGTGTTTTTAATGTATGGCCCAAGTCAATTTTTCTTTTTCCAATGTGGCCCAGAGAAGCCAAAAGGTTGGACACCCTTGATTTAGAACCTTCCACCCAGCTGTTTCCCCACCTGCTCAAACTCACCTCTCTCGTCTCACCCTTCTCTTGAAAGAAAAAGTGCATATTGTGACCTATGACTGGATCAAGTCATGGAGTTTTTCTTTTAAAATCTAGGAAGCCACATGTGGCAAAGGATCAAAATGACCATGTGGAGTGCTTCTCTTGACATGTAGCTCCTGGTAGACGGTTTTCCCCAGCTAAGGCTCTCCTCCAGGTGAGTCCTCTAAGCCAGGCTTGGAAGACGGCCCCAAGGGTGAGGACCTTCTGGTAGTGCCCCCATTATGGAATGATCTCCCAGTGAAGGCCTACCTGGCACCCACATTGCTATTGGATCCAGGTTAAGACCTCCTCCTCCTCTCAGACATTTGGCAATACATCATGTGGTTTTTAATCAGGTCATGAATTTTCTTCTGGATTGCTTAAAATGGTTTTTAGATATGTGCGTCTCTCTGTGTTGAATGTTTATATGTTTGTCTGAATACGGATGTTATTATGATTGCAAACTGCCCAGGGAGCACTAGTTGTCAGCAGTACAGAAATGCAGTAAAGGTACTGAAATGAAAACAACTTCCAGTGGCATCAATTTAAGTATTTAATGTACTGTGATATTTAGCCCTGGATCCAGGAAATGATGTATGCAAAACACGTGCTCTATCAGTGAGATATGGACCTCCCCCAAAATACATCTTAGCAGTCACAGCCTGGGTTCACATGTCATGATGAGAAAACCCACATGGTTTCCATGGTGCATGGTTTTTTGCCTGGACATGCCTAACGGGATTAAGTGGTTTCTATGCCAGTGTGGTTTCCATCTCCCTCACTCAGTCCTCCAGCTGTTGGCATATATTCCATCAGCCACCATGCCTGAAATTCAGTCCCATGTTGGATGGATGGAGCAACAGCTGGAGCAGCATCTGGAGCAGCTGCTGCTCTTTCCAGGCGACTGTGGTAGCACCGTGGAAACCATGATGCCACGTTTGGATGACCAGGGAAACCACAGTGAAGTATGGAAGCCATAGAACAGGCCACTGTTTCTTACCATGGTTTCTAAAAACCAAACCTACCAAGCTGACATGTCATGACAGGGTTTGGATGACACAACAGACCATCCTGGACAAGAAGCCACTGTGGTTTGTCACCAAAAAAGGGGGAGTGTGGGGGCACTGGGCATGGCATTGTGCCTTCATGGTTGTTTATCCCCATGACCAAAACACCACATGTAGGGAAGGCCACTGGACTCTGCATAACAAGAGGGTGCAAACTGCTAAAAACCAGACCAAACCAAACCAAACCAAACCAAACAAAAACAAAACTGACCGTCTGCTAGAAAGGTCCTCACTCTCACTTCGTCTTCCAGGCAGGTATTTGTCAGTTTAGGGGATAAGGGCAGGTAAAGGAGCCCTTTTTGGTTGCAAGACAACTGCGGCAGGCTCCCAGATGCTGAAATAAAAATAGGGACAGAAGAGTGTCCGAAATATGCTGCCCAGTTCCCCCAGGTGGCCAGTCACCAGGTGCCACCTCTACCTCACCTGGAGACAAGGTTCCTAACAGCTACCTTGACGTGATCATCCTTTGTGATTGCATCTTTTTAAATCTAACTAGATTACTTGCTTCCATGGCAACTGATGCAAAATGGTTCCAAGTATCTGGGTTTACATTAAATGAAGAAGAGTTTCCTCAACTTACATTTCTCTTGGGATGTTCTACACAGAGAAAACTCAGCCGGAAGACTCTCTCTGGTTCCGAGCTGGCCTGTTGTAAACAGCTAATGCCTCCCTTACATTACAGTGCCTGTCTAACCACCCACTTAATTAGCATTTGATGGATTAGCTACCCCTTCATAGGCATCTAGACTCACAAAAATGCAAGACTCGCTCTCTCTCTTTTGCGCAAACTGGGCAACCCGGTGCTTGTTCGGCAATACATCACTTAATAGTGGAGCTCCTTGAGGTATGCAGCTTTATGAAGCTTTAAATTAATTCTGACTGCTTGGAAGTCGCAGTTTGCCCCTGGACAGAGCTTCTTGAAGATTGCCGAGGTATCTGAGGTGGCTTGGCTACCCTGTGTGTGGCCCTGTGGACAGCAACTCTTGATGACTCCATGGTGGAAGACAACCTCAATAAGCGGGCAGTGCAGCATCTGGTTTGTCTCTGCAGCTTCTGCTAATGGTCTCTCCCTCAGGCTCGCGTAAGTGCAGACCTGGAGGGAGCATGGGATGTGGGTCTGAGAGGGTGTGGGTTGGGTCCACAATGTGGCTCACCTTCCAGATCTCTTAAAGATCCCCTACTATGCTGCAATCTATAGCACAGGAAGAAAGCAAAGAGAACTGTCTTGTGCAATGTTGGCCTGCTGAAAGTAGGGCCATGCTTACAATGCTCCTCTTCTCAGACCACAGCAGAGAATTCAAGCCCTGATTCATCATGCGCATGCTATTTCACATTGTTCATGCACTTCCTCAACACAGATGCACAACGGCACACAACAACCGCACGCCGTGTTCATTTGCTTCGAGAAGGCATGTCCTGTGCCAATTCGAAGCCAAACACATGTGTCGTTAAAATAGGCCTTAGAAAGACCGAAAGGTCTGCTCTGTATGTGCCAAACTATGCAGCTGGAGAGGCCCTCTGCTTACACCGCCTCCAACAGCAGTTGGAAGTGAAAGGGCCTTCTCTGTTTTGGTGGAATTCCCTGTATTTGTTCCTTATTGCCTTATCTTAAAATATTCCCTAAACTAAAATTGGAGAGGGCAGATGGGTCATTATCTAATTGCTTGGAAAAGATTTCTGAGTCTCAGTTGTCCAACTGCCCAGCTTTATGTATGTGGGTATTTATCTATTAGATTTATACCCCCTTTTAAAATAAAGAACACAAAGCAGCTTACAACATTCTCTTCCTCCTATTTTCAACCTTATCCCCACAACAACAACCCTGCGAGGCAGGTTGGGCTGAGAGTCTGTGCCTGGCCCAGAGTCACCCAGGTGGCTCCATGGCTGAGCGGGGACTCGAACCCGGATCGCCTGTGTCCCGGTCTTGCAACCTTACCACTGCGCCACACTGGCTTTGAGAACTGCCCAGAGGATTTTGGTTGTTGGGGGTATAACAAGATAACAGATCGAAAAGTTTAAAAAAAGCAACCTCCTGCTCAGTTTAGTTGCTATAAAAGAACTGTTGGGGGGAGACCAGGAATGGATCTATGCACGGAAGGGCTTGTGAATTTGCTCCTGCTACTAATCACAATCCCTGGGCACAGCATGGACTCAAAGGCAAGGTAAGTCTTAATTCTTAGCTCACGTGCCTCTACCTGAACATATATTTCGTGCTGGGCCCCTTTCAGTGGAGCACAGCTTTCAGTAATAAAAGCAGAACTTGCCACCCTGAAGTTCGCACAGCTCCCTGAAACAAAACTCACGCTGTGTTTAGTAGAGCGACTTCTTACATAAATATCTATTCCTCGCATCCCATTCCACTGTAGTATGATCAGTAAGACCCAGATTGGAGTCAATTTAATAGCAAGATTTAGGATAGAGCTATTTGTCACAAGGGAGTGCTGCAAAACTCCCACAGTTTTCCAAAAAGTTCAGAGCAGCCACGTACTGCTTGTACCTGCAGGTTTCCCCTACAACCTCAGCCCAAGAAGCCAAACTGGGGAGAGAGACAACCTGGTTCTTAAAGGAGTCCATAGAAGATGGCACCCACTTCCCCTCCCACCAACCTCCAGCCTTGTGGTGGGGGCAGCCTTGTCTCTCTTTCCTGAAATGGCTAAATTTATTAAACCCACTCACTTGGATGAACCTTGGAGAGCAAAGTCCTTTGTCTTCAACAGGGGCTTCCCAGCTTTTGAACAGTTTTTTCCCTATTCAGACAGACTAAAAATGGTTTTCTTGAGGTGCAATTGCTGGCAGGAGCAGCTTTAAGCTAAACTAGACATCTGGTTGGGTCCTCTCCTTTCCTCTTCAGCCTCCCAGGAGAACGGAGATCTCAAGAGATTCACAGTACAGCTGGACACTTGGGCCAAAATAGCTTTCCACCTTTACCTTACAAGGAGCTTGAGTGGTATTTTGAATGAAATTTAAGATGGAATGGGGAAAAAGGAAGACCGCCCCCTTGCAATACAGAGACAATTGCTTTGAAACTGTAAATGTCCCTGGAGAGTCTGATTTTTCTGTTTTGATCACACTAAGTTAGAAGACGGGATATAAATGATCGAATCTCAAAAAGTTATTTTATTTTCTCTGCTTCTTTGCAACAGCTTGAATTAGGCAAGTCTACCCAGAATTTCCAGATATATTTCTATTATTAAGTGCAAAAATGAAATGAAATGAAGCCACCATATTTCGCTTATTGTGAATATTTAGAAGAATAAGATGCAGGTTTGAAAAGTGCTGTCTTCCAAGATGGACTATCTGTGTTGATTCATTTGGAAAACTGTCGTGCTGGTACAGGCATTTTTGGATCATTTTTTGGAAGCAAATTATAGATAGCACAGTAGGTGTACTGGTCTATAAAAAAATGTTACTGTAGCAGCCTTGAACTGCCTATTGGAGAGAGGAGCATTGTGCTAAAGTGAACAAATAAAGGGAAAGCTGTTAGAGGAGGTCACTCTTCGATGTTTTGTGATGTCTCTCTGCTGAAGCATCCTACATTTTCTATAAAAATGGCTCGAGTTCCTAACAATTCTGTTTGGAACAGGAATGCTTTTACCTAACAAAGACAACCTTTTGTGGCACACAGAACATAATGAATAACCCATAAAACATTTAACTACCTCCCAAGGGTAAAGAACAGAAATTCTATCCTTGCAAATAGATTTTTGAACAGACAAACTGGCCAAGGATGCCAGGACGGTCCTCTCAATTTGTCCGGTTGCTCGGGTAAATTAATTGTAGCGAAACAAGCAACTTTACACAAAGGTTTAAAGAACTGCTGCCAAGTGGAGTAGGCAGTTAAAGGGGGGAAAACCCACCGTGAATTTAAGCCCTATGATGGGCTGGCCTGTCTAATCACCAGCATGACTTGAATCCAATGAAGTTTCTCTGGGAGAAGCGGGAAATGTATTATTCGTATTGTGTTTGTTTATTTTGTGTAAGCCATTCCGAGGCTATGCGATGGGACAGCATACAAAAATTCTGAATGCATGAATGAATGAATGTTCTAAAGCCATGTTAGCCTTTGCGCGCGCCTCTTTTTTACAGGAAGAACATCTGGTACCACGGCTGGTCTAAAACATTTTGTCCACAAGGCAGAAAATCATGATGATCATGGCGATTTATTTATGTTCTTTTTATTGTTTATTATTTACTATTTACCGTTTCTTGTTATCGCTTATGTTTTTGTACCTATTTGGGTATCAACTGATGTTTACGACCGATACCTAATGTATTTAGGTCCTGACAGTTAGGACCCTGAGGGTGTGGAATGGGCTTCCACGGGAGGTGGCTGAGGCCCCATCGGTGCGGCTGTTCAAGGATAGGCTGGACATGCACATGGTGGGCATGTCGTGAGCGGAGCCGGCTGGTGCCGGGGGTCAGACTAGATGGCCCAGGAGACCCCTTCTGACTCGCTCTGTTTCTATGTTTCTTTTTACATTATGTTACATTATTACTATCTTAGTTCCCCCCCTTTTTACTGGAAACCATTCAGAGAGTCTACGGCTAAGTTTGAACAGTATATCAAAGTTTTCATAAATTAACTAAAATGGGTCACACCTCCTCAGCCATTTCTGTACAATGACAGGTGTTCAGTTTCCACACTGGTTTTTTACTTATTTTATTTATTGTATGTCTAGACTATCTTCCCAAATCCAACCAAGGCAGTTTAGAAAAAAAATCACAATGCAGAAACAACATTCCAACAAATACAGTATAAACAATTTTAAAAGCCACTGTAACCATAACAACGATTTTGGAAGCCAGCTGAAAAAGATGCACATTGCTCCCCTTTCTGAATGCAGAGATGAGTGTGAGCGGTTCCAACTCCAGACCAAACTCTCTGGAACTGGAGAGAAACTCAGAAGGAAGCCCTTCCAAGTGGGCCTCCAGCAGGATGGTTGCTTTCCCTCCTGATCTGCTAGCTGAGCACGTTCATAACATGATAAGGAATCCTTCAAACAGCCCAAGTGCTATTAAGAGCTGTCAAGATTAAGGCCAACAGCTTGCACAGAGGTCAGAAAATGGCTGTCACCAGCAAACATCTTTCAGCTCTGGGGTGAGATGATCCTGGAATCATGCATTGGTTAGAAATATAGAAACAGAGCGAGTCAGAAGGGGCCTCCTGGGCCATCTAGTCTGACGCCCGGCTCCAGCCAGCTCCACTCATGACATACCTACCATGTGCATGTCTAGCCTATCCTTGAACACCCGCACCGATGGGGCCTCAACCACCTCCCGTGGAAGCCCATTCCACACCCTCGGGGTCCCAACTGTCAGGAAGTGCTTCCTGGC